GTCGCTCGCCTACGACGTCGAGCCCTTCCTCACCCACCTTCTTTCGGCCCTCGTTGTCCGCCTCGCCGACGAGCCCTCGTCCGAGCTGCTCGAGCAGCTCCTCGCGCTCCAGACCACCTCGGACGCCATCGTCGCCAAGGTTCTCGCCATCCTTCTCGAGCTGCCCCTTGCCTCGACGGCCAACGGCGGCGGTGGCGGCGCCGACGACGATGACGACGACGCGGCAGCCGGCCTCGCCTTCGTCCGCCACCTCCACGAAGAGCTGCTGCCTGCCGCCCGTACCCACCGCGTCAAGGTGCTCGCCGCTCTCCGACAGCGCCGCCCCGCCGTGTTTGACGCCGCGGTCAAGACGTCCACCGCCGACGAGTCCCATGGCAGCAAGAGGCTCACGGCCGTCTGGCAGGTGGTGCAGTCCGTCATGAGCGTCGAGGCGGGCACCTCGCCCGAGGACGCCGCCAACGGCCAGACCGGCGCCGGCGACGCGTCCGACACCAACGTCCTCTGGCTCGCCATCCACAGCGCCGACGCCGGCCAGCGCAACCTCGCCCTCGGCCAGCTGCTCGACGACGTCGCCGCCGGCAAGGTGTCGGCCACGGACACCATGGTCCGCGATGCGCTCCAGTCGCGCATCCAGGACTCGTCGGACGAGGTGCTCGAGACGCTCTACTCGAAGCCGCAGAGCCTGCTCGACGCCGTCGACGGCACGACGCTGCTCGAGGCCATCGTGCAGGCGCTCGACAACGGCAACGGCAGCGGCGACCTCGCGCACCACCTCCGCTTCCTCCTGGCCCACTTCCTCGGCGCCCACCCGGAGCTGGCCGGCCAGGTCATCCAGAACGCCGTCTGGCCCCGGCTGCTGTGGACCTCGGCCGGGCGCACGGCCGCCCAGACGGCGGTCAAGGTCATCGCCGAGGTCGCGCTCGACGACTCCACGCTCGCCGGCGCCCTGCTGGCGGGCGCTGCGCGAGCCGGCCGGAGCGCGGCTTCGATCGAGCCCGCCGAGGCCAACGAGCTGGTCGTCGCGCAGCTGGCGTCGCAGATCGTCGCCATCCAGGACGAAAAGCAGAGGCAGACTTGGATCAACTTCCTCTTTGCGCAGGCCTCGGTCGCCACCGGCCCCGATGTCGATGCCGTTGCCGCGCTCCGGCGCCGCCCTTCGCAGCTGCTGGCGTCGCTGGTGCTGATCCGCATCCTCAGCCTCGTCGATGAGAATCGCTTCCAGCGCCTGGCCAGCCGCGCCGTCACCCACATCGCCAACCCGGTGCTGGCGGTGCCCGAAGCCGGCGGCGGCAGCAGCAAGACCAAGAAGACGGGCGACGAAGCCGAGGCCAGCGACGCGGCGGCGGCGACCCCGGCGTCCTCGTCGGCCGCCGCCAGCCGCGGGAGCGTCAGTGCCGACCTGCACGCCGCCGTCTACCGGGCCACGCTCGCGCCGCAGACGATGCGCAAGCTGGCAGGCGAGCTGCTGCAGCAGGTCGTGCTGGGCCTGCGCGTGCCCAAGCTGTCGGCCATCCTCGTCGGCCGCCGCCCGCCGTCGCCGTCGCCGTCGCTGGTGCTGCTGCTGGCGGCAAGCCGGCCAAGGACACGACGGCCGTCGGCCTGCTCTCGTCGCTCTATGCCACCGCCAACACGCCGTCGACGGGCGCCGCGCTGTCCAAGCTGCTGCTGCAGACGCTCTTTGTGCGCCTGCGCGACTCGGTGCTGCCGTTCCTCGCCAACGTCTGGACCCACGCGTCGACGGCCAGCGTCACGGTGCGGTTGGCGGCGCTGCGGCATGCCAGCGCCTACCTCCAGGCGTTTGCCGCCGAGGGCATGGCGCGCGACTTCCAGGTCATTGTGCCGGCGCTGCTGATCGCGCTGGCCGACACGGAGGCGTCGATCCGCATGGCGGCGCTCGCCTGCCTCGAAGACGTGCTGGCGATCGCGTCGGCCTCGTCGCCGTCGTCGACCAAGAAGCAGGTCGAGGTGTTCGGCTACGACGCCATCTACGGCGAGGGCGCGTCCAAGGACCTGCAGTACCTCGACGCGGCCTCGCTGGTCCGCTACCTGGGCGAGCTGCTGGCGCGCAAGACGGCCTACCGCAACGATGCCCACTTCCTGCCGCAGCTCCACCGCGACCTGCTCAACGTCCACCGGCAGGACGGCCGCAAGGACGTCAACTACAAGAACTCGATCCTCTGCTTCCTCTGCTCGCACGTCGCCTGCTGGCCCGACGCCGCGCTCCGCCTGGCGCTGCTCGAGACGCTGCAGGGCGTCAGCGACGCCTCGAAGCTGACGACGCTGCTGCCGCTGGTGCGCGCGCTCGTCCGCAACCAGAGAGGCGCCACCGCCGGCCTCGTCGACACCGCCGTCGCGTCGGCCGCGTCGGCGCGCCGCCGGTACGCCGAGCTGCTGTTTGGCTGCTACGACAAGTCGTGCCGATCGGTGCTCGAGGACGCGTCCAACGGCAGCTGGGCCCTCTTCCTCGACGCCCTCGCCGGCGGCAGCGACGGCAGTGACGTCCAGACGCCCGCCGTCTTGGCCCTGCAGCGCGGTGGCCTGTTTGCCGCCATCGACGCGCCGAAGCGCCAGGAGGCCTACCAG